AGGAATAGTCTCAGTTAAAATATGCTAAATTTCTACTAAGAAAAATATGTATTACTTTTAGATTGGTATATACTAAGTATAATATTATCTAGGACTGAATTCTGTTCCCCCAACACTTATGTGTTGAGGTCTTAACCCCCAACTTGACTACGTTTAGAGATAGGACCTTATGGTTGATTCAGGCCTCATGGTAGACCACTAATCCAATAGGAACTGGCATCCTCATTTTTTAAAAAAGAGACCAGGAACCAAAAGGCAGCATAGGGATTAAGGTGCTGGACTCCCACATGACTTAACCACGGTGCGAGTCCCAGACCCACAGGCTTGAAAATCGCTCGGGCATGTGTGTGCATGTCCAAAATCTCAAGAGGAGAATGGAGAAAAAGAGATTATGGTATGGCCATCCACACTGGGGAGTGATTTCTAACTTTCCATTTCTCTGCCTTTATATCTCTCTCTCCAGTGAGCACATGTGTCCTATGGAAAAAAAAAAAAAAAGGAAAAAAAATTAAAGAAAAAAGACTAGAGATTTTTCTATATAAGACAAGTGCACAGAGGAAAGGCCATGTGTGGACCAGTAGGAAGGAATAAATCTCTTAACTAGACAAAGAGACTTCACCAGAAACCAACCCTGAGAGCACCTTGACTTTGAACGTCTTTCCTCTAGAACTATGAGAAAAGAAGTACTTGTTATTTAAGCCACTGTGGTATTTTGTTATGGCAGCAGTTAGCTACCTAAGAACACAATAAAATTAACCTAATCCATAGTTTTATCTCTAAATGTTTATTCATTTGCTTCTTGTTGTAGTTTATATAGAGGATGCATTATTTTGATCTAGTTTTAATTATTGGAGAAAATATTACTAAGATTATTCATTTACTCAGCATTTTTTTTTTTTTGGAGAGGTTTTTGCTCTAGGGCCACATGTGCTTGCCAGAAAGACAGAGACAGAGAGACAGAAAGTGAGAAATCACTCCCCAGGGGGATGGCAATGCCGCAATCCCTTCTCCTCCATTTTCCTCTTGGGATCTTGGGCATGCATGCACATAAGCCTGGCGTAAGTTTAAGCCACCGGGTCCAGGACTCGACCACAATCAACTACATGGGAGTCCAGTGACGCAGTCATTATGCTAACTGCTGGTCCCATCAGAAAGTATTTTTATTAGCCTCTGGCAGTCACTGTTCTAGATATTTGATATAGAAAGAAAAGGAACAAAAATTTCTGCTCCTGTGGGTTTTATATGGAAAATAAGCAAAACAAATAAAAATTAAGCAAATGATATAGTTTTTAAGAAAGTAATACATGCTTTGGAAAAAGTAGGGTAGGGTCAGGAGGAAGGATGTGGGATATAGTGGTTGCAGTATATAGGGAGGTTGGGGTAAGCCTCACTGAGAAGATAATATTTGAACCAATGTTAAATACATTACATACATTATATGTCTAATTTTAAACCAATATTATGATAATCAGTACATTTACAATTTCTTTGGAGGCAATTTTTTTCTAAGAGAGAGATTTTTGTTACAGGGAGTATGTGCTCACCAAAAACAGAGAGAGAGAGAGACAGAAAGCAGAAAAATTGCCCCCAAGGGGGGATGGCCATGCTGCAATTCCCTCTCCTCCATTCTCCTTTTGGGACTTGGCACACATGCATGTGTGCCCAGTATGTTTCAAGATGCTGAGCCCAGGATCATAGCATGGCTGACTATATAGAAGTCCAGTGCCTTAACTATTACACCACCTCCTGGCCCCAGAAGGTGATTTGTAATTTTCTTCTACTTTTAGAGACTTTCTGCTTACTATACATTAAGTTTCATGTATATCAGTGTGCATATTATTATCTTTGTGAAGAAATCTATATATAGAAAAAAAGGAAGCTTATTGATCATCTTGGGTTGATCTAATCGTACTACTAAGTTTCACTAGGAATCAATTCTAATTTCGTTTTAAGAACATGATGAAATAGTGCAAATAACAAAAAGAAATCTAAATCTTTGATTTTTCTTTCTATCCTTTGAAATGTACTTTAGACCATTCTTCCAACCTCAAAAGAATAGTACTTGAATTTTTTTGACTTGTGCATCTGATTCAGAGTCAAACTACACAGAACTGATTTTAATTTAACAGAATACTATTGCCACTTTAAGAAGAAAGCAGAATAACAAAACAGTATGAATGTAAATATTTCTTCCATTTTATAGCTCGATAAAGTACACACAGTCTTCAGTGTAATCAGTTTGTTCTAAATTTTCTAGTATAAACCTAGCAAAGAAAAGGTGTAATTTATTTTAATTGCAACACACACTATATTTATTCCTGAAAAGAGAATTGTTAAAACTCAAAACATATCTAAAATGCAAAATTTGTAAATAATATTTTCATACAATCTCTATAAAGAACACTTTTCTATAACAAAAAGTAGTCCTACAATTTTTATTTTTTTAAAGGTTTTTTTTTTTCATTCAGTCCTAGAAAGACCATAGTCTTGGCATTCAAAGGACTTCCTTTCCTCTAAGTACCAATATTCATTTTTATTACCTGAAGTACACTAAAATTATCTCACTTTTCTGTTTTAAAACGTTATTCCTATGCATTCTTCATCACAATCAATAGCACCACAATCTACCCTTGCCTAGTTTAGAGCAGTGGTGTCATGTCCTAATGTTTTCTCTCTCATCCCTGGCATCTGGTTAACCAAAAAACTCAGTTATGTCCATATCATTTTGCCCTTCATGTTGTTTTCACAACAAGCTTCTCAAAGGCAGAATTCACCATGCCGTCTCCCAGCTTCAAGACCTTCTATTTCCCATATGACAAACTAAACTCCTTTGACTCAGAAAGAGTTATTTCGAACTGGCCCAACATATTTGATCATTTCATTCACCACAACAGTTCATCTCTAGCACCCACCTTGAGGAGGCGTCCTGAAAAAACTCTGCTTATTACATATGGGGATCTTTGAATTAGTTGTCCTCTTTGATTAGAATCCATCTTCCCTTTCTCCCTTCTTGCATTCATTCATTAATTAACTGATACAGATACATATCTATTGAGTTCCTACTCTGTGTCAGGCGTGGGAGTATTCTAGGTTCCACGATGGTGACAAAGTAGACATGTCCCTGTACTTAAAGAGTTTCTACTCTGCTTGCATTTGCTATCATCTTTTCAAACACAAATGCCTTTATCTCACGCTCCCTTCCTACAGTACACTCAAATCAAGCTGATTGCTGCTGCTTCTGGAAGGCTTGGCCACTGTCCATAACTTTATTGCAGTACTTATGTCAGATATATTTCATAAAGTCCATTTTCTCTACTAGACACTAGGCTGACTATAGTAAGAAGCAGATCTTTTCATCAGAAGGCCTTCCTATTGTGCCTAGGACAGTATTCTTCAAATTGTAGAAGTGTTGATATCAAATCAATTTGAAAGCCTTTGATCCAAAATTTAGATATAATGCCAGAAAATTAGGTTTCTAAAGATGACCACAAGAAGCTTATTTTAATTATATACATACATTTTTTTTTTCTATTTAGACTTGCCAATTTTCTCAACAGTTTTTGTTTTGTTTTGTTTTAGAGAGATTTTTGCTATAGGGTGAGTGTGCTTGCCAGAGAGACAGGGAGACAGAGAATAAGAAATCACCCCTTGGGAGGATGGCCACTTAGTGATCCTTTCTCCTCCATTCTCTTCTCAGAATTTTGGGCACACAGGTACATGGGCTGGAGTGAGTTTTAAGCCTCCGCCTCTGGGACTTGGACCATGGTAGTCTATGTGGGAGTCCAGTGACGTAACCATTATGTCACCTGCTGGTCCCATTCACAACCATTTTTAATGCTCTTTTCTAATGTATAATTCTGTAACATACCTGGCATATTATGGATTTTCTGTGTTTTAAAAGAATGAATTGTATCTTGGGGCTGGCAGATAATGTGATTAAGGCTGCTGGACTCCCACATGGGTGATTGCAGTTCAAGTACTGGACCTGGTGGCTCCCTTTCTCACTTTTCTCTCTCTCACTCTGTCCCTCTCTGGTCAAATTAAAATACAGAAAAGAATTAATTGTATCTTATTGATGATAATGTTTTAAGAAATATATATATATATATATATATGCAATTTCACTCTTCATTCTCTTGCTATATACTGTACTAAATGGCTTGAAGTTTGTCTTTGTATTTGTTCTCTTTTTACATAGAAATTTGCTTTTTTCTTGAAAATTTCTATAAATAACAATATTTTTTTTTCCCATTAAGTTGCTTGCTAATGCATTATAGCCTGAGGAAGGAACATATGACCCTCTCTCTTATTCCCAACACCATGGTGACTGTAGGAATATTTCTATGTAGGATTATATTTCAGTGGTCACGAAATATATTGCTCCCAGTGCAACCTACTATAGTATTTCCATATAGATTTATTCTGCAAAATCGAACTGTATGGGATATTTATAAAAGGTCTCTTTTCTTCCTTTAATATCTACAATGGCTACAACAACTCCTCAGCCTGTATTTGACAGAAGTGACTCAAGAATTCTGCATCAGAATTTTTAGTGGCAACAGAGACACTACAGATAACTAACTGAACTTGTAATTATGTGTATAGGAGTTGCTCTAAGTTCATAACTTGAAAGGAATGAAGACACTGATGAAAAATCAGGCTATTAGGTCACCCAGATTTTAATAAGAAAGTGAAACAATATCCTAAAATTAGAATAATATTTCTTTATACAACATTGGATAACAGCCATCAGCATGATTCTAATAAAAGGTGAAAATAAGGATGTTTATTTTAAGAGCCTAAAATGGTGTCTATCTGGATTTTTATTTCAGTCAGTCCATGAAGACTTATCAAACCATTACACCATATTTTGACTTACTCAAGCAAACTAATTTGTAGACAAGAAAGCGAGTAAAGAGGTTTAAATTACATACGTAGAGAACTGCAGCTCTAATGTAATTTCATGTATAATTATTTAGAAAGAATCAAATTTAATGTACCTTTTCCAAATCCATCTTGTTTGAAAATTTTCCTGCATCAGTACTGTATCTGAAAAATAAATTGACTCAGTTTATAATTTTATTAAAGTGTAATTTGGAAAATTCTAATCAAAATATCAATATTCTTTACCCTGGAACTGGTTTTGCTTTCCCTTTCCTCTCATTTGTTTCATGTCCATTAATACTTTCTGCAAAACATGAAACAGAAGACAAATAATTTAACTAAAGGATTATCATTAGGTTTGCATGTGTATATGTGTGTGTGCAAGAAGTTGGAAGCATTACTGGAAACTGAAAATAAACAAATTCATCTTGGGCTGACATAACATTCATCTTAATAAAGCATTTTATAAACACAAATATTCTTTCTATATTTTTTCCTACTGCATTGGAGCAGTTCATCAGAGCTAGAAATAACCACAGTGAAAGTTGAGCTGTATCCAAATAGAATGTAAGAATTAAAGATTCCCAATATTTTATACAGGAAAGTTATTTCAGGACAGGAAAGACTAACCTGCAGGTCTACTGATAAAAACATGACAGATCATCCCATCAGACTGGCTGGAGGATAGAAAGGTATCTATCCCACTTTTGCCAGAGAATATACATTAGACAATTAATCTAAGGTAAAATATTTGTGTAATGTAATTCCTTTGTGTAGATACTGGGAACTATAGAAAGATGAAGGTTAAATTTGCATTATGTGTGTATGGAGAGTTCATTCAAAATATCACCCTTCATTCTTGAGTTTATGTTTATTGCCCAAGTGACTAGCCCCCACTGTGGCCCTATCAACACTGATACCATCAATTTCCAGTCCATGGTTGGTAGATCCACTGAAATAAGTCATCTGAGTGGCCTCGACCTCTGCTTCAGCACTGATGATCTGCTGTGCCACAGCCTCCACGATGGGCATCACCATGGCAGCAGTAGAGGTGTTGCTAAGCCACATAGATAAGAAGGCAGTGCTGCTCATGAACCCCAACGTCAGCCTGCAATGAGAGAGCCTTTAGTGTGGAGCTGCGCTCTCCAGCTTAATGAGCTCTGCATTATCACAAAAGAGGATCGTTGGTGAGTTGAAAATTAAGTTTTTCAAAACATTGAAGGTTAAGATCCCTCCCAGATGATGAACTCCGTGTCCAAGTCAGGTAGAAATCAAGAGTAGAATTCTAAAGAGATTTGTTTCCCAGGGAACCATGAGAATCTTTTTTTCCTTTTTTTTTAAAAAAAAAAAAAAAACAGAAACATGATTAATTATAACTATACTGCAAATTGGTATATGGCATAACTGCTTGTAATATTCCATTAATATTTAGGCTTCCAATTCTCCTTACAGATGTCCCACTTCAAATATTAGTAAGAGTAAAATGCAATTAACTTTTGGATTTAAGGTTCTTAAATTTACTTTTATCTTTTGGCTATATTTCTGTTTAGTAATATATGTGCTAAGAAGGACAGAAGAAAAATTAATATTTATAAATCCTCTTTCTACTTTTCACTATGCCAGTTCAACATATGATGAGTGGAGAAAATGGTTTAAATAATTAGTTAAAATAAGGTTTCATAATTTTCTGTACATTTTATTATTTATGCTCTCCTGAATCTGACACTCCTTCCAATTGTCAAGAAGTATATACATTACATTGCCTTCTCATAAATAGAGTAGTTCTCCCTTAAAAATAACACACCTAAAGCTACAGGATTTTAAACTATGTCTGCAACTTTCACAATCACACTTAGGAGAAAGCATGATCTCTTTACAGTAGGAAGCCCTAGAAAATTTATTCAGAAGTATATTTTTTTCTATATAGAGATATTTACGAAATTCTCTGACTCTCTTTTAAAATAGATCTACAAGAACAATTCTACATTATAAGTTTCAAACTTTATATAAGGCAAATATTTTCTTTATGTAAAACAAAATAAAACTGTAAAGTCACTTCAAACAAAAAATATTATTATTAGGTTTTTTTTTTTTTTTTTTTTTTTTTTATTTGCTAAAGGATGTATACACCTGCTGGAGAGAGACAGAGTGGGATTGAGGGAGTGACAAAGCACATTCCCACTTCTTGAGGAATGACCACACCACTGCAGTCCCTTCTTCATCCTCCTCTTGGTATTTTGAGCACACACAGCCTAAGTGTCTTGTGTGTTTTCAGACTTATTGTCTGGAACTTGAACTGTGCAGTTGGCTGTGTGAGATCCAGCTGCCTTAACCACCAAACCACTGGTTGACCCAGAAATGATTCTCAATAAAAAGAAAACTAGAAATACTTTTATATTGAAACATGAAATCTTCTCCTAAAAACAAAAAAGTTGGGATCAGATCAAGTTTCTGCAACAGCTAAAATGTCTTAGGTTGAAAAGCCACTTAGTGGCATAATGAACAGAACTTTTGTCCTACTGTGGGACTAGTGAGCAGGTGGCCAAGGAAAAGAGGTACATTTCCATAGCACCTCTTTAGAAAGTAGAGTATGAAGGCCCATTTCATTTTGAGTGAAATGTCTGAAATATATATATATGTCATAGAATTTTTATGTAACAAATTTTTTTTAAATTTGCCTCATCCGAGTCAAGAATTTTTTTCTTTGTATCTAGCAAAACAATATACTTCATAAATGATAAACACAGATGTGGCTATTCTCTAGAATGAATTATTCAAAAGAAGTCAATACAGTTTCCCTATTTTCAAAGAAAGATGAGAAAGGAAGAATCACCTAAGGCTTTAAAGCAAAATGACATTATGCAAATGATTATGACATGAAAAATTTTCTTTAGCTTATGTTCATGCTTTTAACAAGAGGTAGAATAAAACCACAGATAGCCAATTAAAAGGCTATCATTTCAATTGGGGAAAATCAGTCAAATGAGTGATTTCATATTCTATTGATAGAATTTCTTTAAAAAATTTAAAATATAGATAAAAGTATATATATATACCATGTGTGACATGATGGTTTGAAGTATAGATACATTATGGAATAACTAAATCTAGCAAATTAACATAAGGAGAACCTCACAGTTTTATGGCGAAAACACTTTACATTACATTCACTCTCTTAGTATTTTTCAAGAACACAATATATTAGTAACTATAGTCACCATGTTGTACAAGAGACCTCTTGAATTTATTCCTCTTTTCAATTGACATTTTGTATGTTTTGACCAGTGTCTTTTCAAACCCCACCTCTACCACATACACAAAATGAACCCTATCTATTCTCTTTTTATGGGCTTAATTTTTTTTTTTTTTTAGATTTCCACATATGAGTGAGATCATGCAATATTTACCTTTCTGTTCTTGGTTTATTTTATTTAACATAATGTCTTTTACCTTCATCCATACTGTCACAAATAACAGTGTTTTCTTTTTTAATACTTTAATAGTATTGTATTTTGTATATAATTCGCTGTTTCTTTATCCATTCAACCATTAATGAACAGTTATCTTAACTTCATATCTTGGTTATTGTGAATTATGCTGCTAAAAATATGGGATGCATATTTCTTTGACTCATATCATTTCCTTTAAATATATGCTCAATAGTAGTAGATCATAGAGTGGTTCTATTTTTCCTTGTTTTTAAATTTAAAATGTTCTTTTTAAAGAATTATTTTATTTATTATTATTGTTATTAATTTGATCAGAGAGAGACAGAAAATGAGAAAGCCAGTTGCCAAGTCCAGGACTTGAACCATGATCAGACATGTGCAAATCCATTGCCTTAACCATCACACCACCTGCCAACCTCATCTATTTTTAATTTTTTGAAGAATCGCCACATTGTTTTCTAAACAGCTGTATAAATTTACATTCTCATCAGCAGAGTACAAATGTTTCCTTTCCCCACATCTTTGTCAACACTTATCTTTTGTCTTTTTGGAAACAGACATTCTGAAAGCTGTGAGATGATATCTCTTTGCAGTCTTAATTTACATTTTCCTGATGATAGTAGTGTTGAGCATTTTTCAGATGCTTGGTGACAATTTGTATGTCTTCTTTTGAGAAATGTCTTTTCAGATTTTTAATCCAATATTATATCAGATTATTTGTTTTATGCTGTTGAGTAGTTTGAATTTCTTACATATTTTGAATATTAATTCCTTCTTAGACATATAGTTTGTAAATATTTTCTCCCATTCTTTAGGTTGTCTCTTCACTGTATTGATTGTTTCCTTTTCTGTGCAAAATGATTTAGTTTGATCCACTGGCCCATTTGTGATTTTGTTGCCTTTACTTTGGAAGTCATAATCAAACAGTTATTGCCCAGACCAATGTCATGGAGCTTTTGCCCTATATTTTCTTCTAGTAGTTTTATAACTTTGGTTATTACTTTTCAGTCTTTAATACATTTTGAGGATTGAATCTATCCAAATGATTTTTGTAGATGATGTGAAGTAAGGGTCTAATTTCATCCTTTTGTTAGTGTATATTCATTTTTCTCAGCACTATTTATTGAAGACTGCCCTTTTACCATTGTGTGTTCTTAACACATTTGACAAAGATTACTTAACTGTAAAGTATGGATTTATTTCTGGTCTCTCTATTCTGTTCCATTGGGTTTTATGTCTGTTTATATGCTGTTTTGTTTACTATAGCTTTGTAGTATATTTTGAAGTCAGATAGTATAATGCCTCCAGATATTTTTTTCCTCAAAATTGCTTTGGCTTTTCAGAGTCTTTTTTGGCTCTATATACATTTATTTTTTTTATTGGTATTGAATAAGGATTGAATTTAATTTGTACATCTCTTTCAAGAGTATGAACATTTTCATAATATTATATCATCCAATCTATGAACACAGAATGTCTTTCAATTTATTTTTGTCTTCTTTAGAGTTAAATTTATCCCTTGATTTTTTTTTTTCTTGGTGTGTGTAAAGAGAGATATTTGTTATAGGACACATGTGCTTGCCAGAAAGACAGAGAAACAGAGAGACAGAAAGTGAGAAATCAACCCTCAGGAGGATGCCCACACTACAATTACTTCTCCTTCATTCTCCTCTTGGGGCTTTGGGCACACACGCCCAGAATGAGTTTTAAGTTGCTGGATCCAGGACTTGAACCGCAGCCAGTTGACTACATGGAAATCCAGTGACACAAACATTACACCATATACTGGCCCCTCAATTTTTTAAAGAGGTTTTTGACTTAGGGTGCATGTGCTCACTTGAGAGAGAGAGAGACAGAGATAGTGAGAGGGAAAGTGAGAAATCATCCCCCAGAAGGATGGCCATGTGATAATCCATTCTCCTCCATTCTCTTCCTAGAATCTTGGGAATGCAAACACCCATGCACCTTGCATGAATTTCAAGCCACTGGGTCTGGGACTCAAACTGTGGTCAGTCATGTGTGATTCCAGCCATGTAACTGCTACGCCATCTGCTGGTCTCAATCCTTCAGGTTTTTTAAAAAAAAATTTTAAAAATATTTTATTTTTAGCTTCATCATTTATTTATTTACTGATTTACTTATTTATTTATTTAATTTCACTAGGGAGGAACAGAGTGAGAGAGCAAAAGAGAAAGAGAGGGGAAAGTGAGAAGACAAGCTACCAGGCCTAATCTCTAACCGTGGTCAGTCATGAGGGAATCCAGCACCTCAAACCACCATGCCACCTGTCAGCCCTGTCGATCCCTCAGTTGTTTTTAGCAAATGTAAATGAGACTGTTTTCTTGATTACTTTATAAAATTACTTGTTAGTGTATCAAAATGCTACTGATCTTTGCATATTGTTTTATTAAAGCTTTTTCAAATAGGGAATGTGTGCTCACCAGAGAGAGGAAGAAAGGGAGAGAGAGAAAATGCGAAATAACCCTTCCCCCAGGGAGGATGGCCATGATGTAATCCCTCCTCCATTCTCCTTTTGGGATTTTGGACATGCACACAAAAACACCTGGCTTGTTTTTCAAGCTGTTCGGTCAAAGACTCAAACTATATAGTCAGCTATGTGGGATCCGGCACCTTAATCACCATACTGCCTGCTTGCTCCGTGTGTTAATTTTGTATCTGGAAACATCACTCAATTTATTAGTGCTAACAGTTTTTTGGGTAGAATCTTTAGATTTTTCTTATAGAAAATTATGTCATCTATAACCAGAGATAATTTGACTTCTTTCTTTCTAATTTGGATGATTTTATTTCTTTTTCTTGCTTAAATTCTCTTGCTAGGACCTCTAGTACTATATCGAATAGAAACGATGAGAGTGGGAATCTTTGTCTTTTTCTAGGTCTCATAGGAAAAGCTTTAAACTTTCGCTGTTGAGTATACTGTTACCTATAGGTTTGTGATACACGGCCTATATTGCCTTGAGGTACCCTCCTTCTAGGCCTAATATGCAAAAGCTTTTACTATAAAAAGATGTTGAATTTTGTCAAATACTTTTTCTGCATCTATTGAAATAATTGTATAGTTTCAATTCTTAATTCTGTTATTGTGATATATTATGATCATTGACTTACATTTGAAGGATTCTTGTATCTCTGGGATGAATTTCATTTGGTCATGGTGAATGAGTTTTTTAATGTACTGCTGAATTTGTTTTTGTAGTGATTTTATTGAAGATTTTGCATCTATATTCATTAAGACTATTGGTCTGTAGTTTTCTTTCTTTGTAGTGTCTTCATCTGGCATTGGTATCAGTGTATTGTTGGTCTTGTAAAATGAGTGGAAATATTCTCTACTCTTCAGCTTTTTGAAAGAGTTTTAGAATAATTGGTATTAGTTACTTAAACATTCAGTAGATTTTAGGAATGAGACCATCTGGATCTGGATTTTTCTTCAGTGAGAGACATTTTTTTGGCCAGTGTGCACTTGCCAAAAAGAGACAAATATAGGGTGAGAGACTAAGAGAGAAAGGAAGTGAGGAAGCAGTCTCAATGGGGTGTGGTCATACTTCAAATCCTTTTTGCTCTATATCATTATCCTATCAGAATTTCGAGCTCACACAAACATAAGTTTCAGTATGTTTTTCAAGCTTCCAGGGCTGGGATTAGAACCACAAACAACCTGTGGTATATAGCTCTCTATGCACAGAAGGTAACCATTGTGTTAGAAGGCCAGCCTGATGGACGACTTATTAATGATTCACTTTCCTTCCTTGTAACTGTTCTGTTAAGATTTTCTATTTCTTCAGTTTTTGTAAGTTCCATGAATCAAATTGCATCCATTTCTTCTAGGTAAACCAATTTCTTGGCATATAATTTTTCATAATAATCTCATGATTCTTTGTGTTTCTATTGTAGCAATTGTAATGTCTCTTTAAATTTCTGATTTGAGTTCTTTCTCTCTTCATTAGTTAAGTTTGTCAATCTGGGTTATCTTTCAAAAATTCAACTCTTCTGTCAGTCATTTATATTATTTTTCTACTCATTGTTTTACTTATTTTTGCCGTGATCTTTATTATTTCCTTCCTTCTACTAATTTAGGTTTAAGTTGTACTTCCTTGAAGTACAATGTTCAATTGTTTATTAGGTAGCATTCATTTTGATGTAGGTGTTTTTTTGTTATAATCTTACCTCTTAGAACTGTATTTCTGTGTCCATAGGGTTAGGTACATTTTTTCTATTTTGTTTATCTCAAAAAATGTTTAATTTCCTTTTTAATTTTTTATTGGTTGTTTGGGAATATGTTATATAATTTCCATGTGCTTATAAAGTTTGCAAAGTTTCTCCTGTTACTGATTTCTATTTTTATATCATCTTGATCAAAAAAAAAGGGTAAGATTTTAACTTTCTTAAGTTTGTTAAAAAATTCTTTTATGGTCTAATATGTGATCTATTCTGGAGAATATTCCGTGTGCATTTGAGAAAAGTGTGTATTCTGATGCTGTTAGATGCATTGTTCTATGTATATCTGTTAGGTTCATTTGATCAAGAGTGCAGTTTAAGTCCAATGTTTCCTTACTGATTTTTTTTTCTAGCTGAATAATGTACATATTGCTGAAAGTGTGATATTGAAGTCTGTTACTATTATTATATTGCAGTCTACCTATCCCTTCAGATTTATTATTTGCTTTATATATTATGTGCTCTGGTTCAGATACATATGCATTTGTAATTATTATCTCCTCTGGCTGAATTGACCCCTTGATCATCATATAATGACCTATTTTGTCTTTTTTTTTGTAGCTTTTAACATAAAGTCTATTTTAACTGATATAAGAACAGCTGTTCTTGCTCTCTTTTGTTCTCTATTTACATAAAACATCTGTCTTTCCATTCTTTCATATTCAGTCTGTGTGTCCTTATAGGTGATGTGGGTCTTTTGTAGGCAGCATATAGTCAGACCTGTGTTTTTGGTTGGTTGGTCATTTTAATCTAGTCCACCACTTTGTATTTTGATTGAAGAGTGTAATTCATTTACATCCAAGATAATTATTGATAGGTAATGACATTGCTGTCATTTGAATAATTGCTTTCTATGTTGTGGTGTAAATCCTTTGTTCCTTTCTTCTTCTCCTGCTATCTTTCCTTTGTGGCTAAGCAATTTATTCTTAGATGTATGTTTTTACATTTTTGCTTTTTATTTTTTGCGTATCTTTTAAATGAAACTTTTTAATTGATTATTTCACTTCAAAACAGTTGATTTAAAAAGGAAAATATCCACCTTGGAATTTTTCTGCACATACTTGCATTTTGCCAGTAATGCCTTATGTTTGGTTTGTAACATCCTCCCAGATGATAAGCAATGCTCTTGAACAAGTCTTGAATGTGCAATCAGCTAAATAAACAAAGTAGAACTGAAATCTACTTTGAGGTCTATCAGTGTTGTCTGTTGAGATTCAAGGCTTTTTCCAGCTTTGACTCCTATGGTGCATAAAAGATGACAGAGTGATGTGCACTTATTCCAACTTGCCTGTAATTAGGCCTGTGGTGAAGAAAAGTTGTTTCTTTTTTCCTCCTCCAACTCAAGCATACTTTACATCACTTTCCTTTTTGTGGAGTAAAGCAAACAAAGAGTCATGAAGTATCCTGTGATACCAACGCTCCCCTAGATGTGCATTACTATTTTGGTTATTTGCTCTGCATAAAAATGGTCAGTTCAGAATATCAACCAAAAGAAGCCAATGCAATACTTACCATGCTGGATTCATACCCACCATCATCACCATTCTCAAAGCAATCCTTTTGTGCAAATTCCATTTCTCTATTGATGTTGCTAAACAGATGACTCCAATTAGCAGTAGGTGAAAATCTTTGAAATAAGCAGATGCCACCTGAAGTTACAATTAAACTCACGATTATTTATGTTGGTGGGAGAAAAATAACATTGCACAAGAAAGACATTATGCTGATCATGACTCTGACCTTCAAATACACAATCTTTCTATTTTGCTGAGGAAAATGTAGATGTATTAGAATATAAATTTAAATGCAGTCTATATTCTTACCTTGAAATAGTATTAAGGAAAAATAAACAGGAAAAAGATTACCCAGGATTTGGGGTTATTAAGTGGCACTTTAACAAGTGCTTCCTATGCTTTCATTTCTCCGTATTTAAACTAGAGGTTAATCTATTTAGACCCCTACGGTGGAATGGTAGTATCTGTGATTTGGAAAAGTCCTGAATCAAGGTCCAACCTGCCGATATCATCATCACCATCAATTATGTCATAACTTGAGTGACTTCTTTATATTTTGAATGGTTTTACCTTCAAATTGATTTATTATAAATGAGTGAAGTTTGGCATTTCAAGCCATTTTCAGTTAACACCATCCAGAGATTAATGAAACATTCAATTTAAGCAATACTCTGCAATAGCATTTCCCAAAGAATACTCTAAAGAATACTCTGAAATATGTTATATACATGATTTTGTGTATGTGGTCAATTAGAATTTTGAAATAATATTATTTTCTTTCCTTTAGACCTTATCAGAATCTTTAAATAATAGATATATTATCACATTCAAAGAATGAGATATGATATAGTACTTTTTTCAAACTTATTTCATCATAAAAAAAATCTTACTTAATCTTTGAATGGAAGAACTCGTGGGATTGATATTTCAGAGAATTGATTTTTGAAAATATTTGTCTAAACTGAAGTGCAATACTCTCTTTTAAATATTTTTAATTCTATTTACTCATTTACTTATTTTTTTGACCAGACACACACACACACACACACACACACAAGAGAGAGAGAGAGAGAAAGTGAGAAAGCAAACCACCAGGTCCAGGACTTGAACCATGGTTGGCCATATGGGAATGTCCAGTGCCTTAACCACCACAGCACCTACTGGTCCCCAAAGTGCAATACTCTTTAAAAGGAGAGTATTGTGAAAGGAAATGCCCTTTAAAGGCCAAATAATGTCTAGTAAAAAAAAAAAAATTGAAGGGTTAGAACAAAATAATGTTATGAAACCACAGAGGAACAAGAAAATTAATTCTGATGATGATTTTAAATTATATCTGCATTTTTACTATAGCATAGCATTTTCAGTTTCAATAGAGGCAAAAATTAATAATTACCCTTGAAATTAATGGTAAGCAAGTGGATACCTCTATTTTATTTTATGTAGTATTTACTTTTTTAAAGCTTATATTTTTCTCTTTACATTATTTTAGTGAATAGGTAACAGAAAATAAATAATTATGTCAATCTTATTATTATTTTATGCATTAGTTACTCTAATCTTGGAAAAGTATCTGCTGTGCACCAAACAATGTTATAGGAAAGGAGAATATAGAGATTAATGCCTGACATGTCTTTCCTCCTTGTACCCCTTCAATTTTAGAATACAAGGCTTTTCTAAATAGTTACTATGATTTTTTTTTGTATTGCAGAACCCTGTTTTTCCATATCATAGAGCCCTATTTGTCTTCTTTATAATGAATCACATTACATAAATACTGTTTGCTTTCCTGTTCATTACCTGTGGTCCCAATTATACTACACATTGCATGATAAGGAAGAAATTGCTCTGTTAACCATTGCATATCTGATGCCTTACACAGTCCTGGCACACAGTAAATTGTACCGAATGAGTGTGGGAGATAATGACTAAGTTACAGTCTCCAAGCTCCTAAATACCAATTGTCTACACTATGTTCCCAACTTCTTTTCAAGTTACTATTTTTTTTTCACAAGGCATGTGTACTTTCTGGAGAGAGACAGAGAGAGACAGAGAAAGGGAACCTGAGAAATCACCCACTGGGGTGGAGTGGCCATGCCACAATCCCTTCTCCTCCATTCTCTTCTCAGAATTCTGAGTATCCACACACATGTGCCCAGCATGATTTTCAAGCCACTGGGTCCAGGACTCCAACCATGACTGGCTATGCGGGAGTCCCACACATTAACTACCACACCACCTGCTGGCCCCATCTATCCTAGCTCTTTGAACTCTTACTCTCAGTATAAGTATTCCAATTCATTAATTTACTATCATTTCCAGACTCCTGAACCATTTCATTCTCCAATTCTCTTTTTTTCTATTTTATTTTATAATGTCTTACACTTGATTATTGTATATCTTTGTGGGGCACACACAACATGGATTTTCAAAGCATTCATGCAGTGTGCAGCAATAAAATCAAGGATAATAACTATTCATTACTTTCAACAAAGCACACCACATCTGAGATGTGTGTGTGTGTGTGTGTGTGTGTGTGTTTGATTGATGAGGCCTGTTTTTTTTGTTTTTTTTTTAACTCAGTTGCTCCCACTGTTGCACAATCCATTTGCCCCATCCACCTACATTCCTGTGTCTGTTAAACACTTTTATTTCCTGGCCCTCTTCTACCCAACCCCCATGCAGTCCCTGGTATCTACAGTTGTCCTCTGTACTTCTGTGTCTTCAAATCTTCCCATTTCTGAGATAAAGTGCAGATATTTGGTATATATTGAAAAAGGACATAGTCTTTCATAGTCTGACTTATTTTTACTTAGAATTACATCTTCTAGATGCAACCACTTTGCATCAAATGAGCGGTCTCATTGCTCTCTATGGCTGTTTCTATTTTTGTCTCTGATTTTTTCTTTTTGTCTACCTTGAGAATTTTTCTTCTAGGGGTTAGCAGATGATGTAATGGTTATGTCGTTTGACTCCCATATAGTTGACTGTGGCTCACATACTAGGTCTAGTGACTTCAAACTCATGCCAAGTGTGTGTGCATGCATGCCCAAAATCCTGCGTGGAGACTGAAGGAGAAGGGATTGTGGGATGGCCATCCCCCTGGAGAATGACTTCTCACTTTCTGTCTCTCTGTTTCTCTTTATCTCTCTGGCACATGCACTCATCCAATAGCAAAAATATCTAAAAATATATATATATACTGTTCTTTGTCCTCTTAAATGCTGGTTTTCTGCAGAGTTCTGTCTGTAGTCATCTTGTTTTATACATATAATGATTGAATCTTAAGGATTCAACTTCTATTTCTAAGGGACTAAAACAATAGCACATACATAATAGCACTGAATACACATTTGTTGAATAAATGCTGAATACACAAAGATCTTTATACCCAGATAGAAAAGTCTTCTGAGTATATCCAGCTAGACATTCCTGTTGAATTTCTCATAGATATCTAAAAACTCAACATCGCCAAAAGGACACTTATCTTCTCATCACCACGTTTAACCATGTCCTTTCTCTTGTATCTCCTTTTGTGGTGAATGAAACTTTCAATCGCTCACTTATTCAAGTCAAAACCTGAGTGTCAGCCATGGTTGCTTTTCACTGCCAATACATATTAATCACCAGGTCCTATTACCTATGTTACTTATATTTTCAATATTTTTCTAATTTTATTGATTTACATCTTAGTACCTTAAAGTCCTCACCTTTTCCCTCCTGGCTACTGTCTGATCTGTCTTTCCTCTAATCCTCCGCATACCTCTGTAAAAGTCAGTTTTCTAAAGTGTGATCTGAGCACATGATTGGCTTTCTTATACTCATTAGGTGAATCCATGGTTTCTAAGAGCAAATCCAATATCCTCAACATGGGAAGACCCTTCATTACCTAGTCCTGTTTCACCTCTCCAGTTTAGTCTCTTTGCAGTCTACCTCACTTGTTCCTGTACATGCAATTCCCCATATACAGAAACACTTTGACTCTTGCTTGTAACATAGCTTGTCATGACCCTCTTCTCTTGCTTTGGTTATCTCTTCCTTCCTTTATGGACTAATTCAGATAGCCATCATTCTAACATGTCATTTCCTTGAGATATTAACCGATTGAATATTTCTCTTTGTTTTGGATATCTTAATCCATATAATGATAATTTCTTCACTTAACTATTCTCTTCAATAAACTAGATGCAATTTGTAGGCAGAGATGTCCTACTGGTCATTGTATTCATGTACTTTATTAAAGTTGGTATATTGGTGGAACATTAGCCAGAGACAGATGTATTCATTTATAGCCCACTTAACCAGAGGGTAGAAGAAGGTGCTATTGGTTTGTGAATGACACTGTCAAATATAACTATTTGTGAGGCAAAACTGGCATGTTGAATATAATTCCTAATTAAATTTGAAATACATTTTTAAAATCAAGGTAGTTGTAGTTCTGTCTCAAATGAGATTTCATTGAAAAACATGAACTTTGGCAATCACAGCACCTGGATTCTCTCTTAGGTGTATAGTTTACATGTTGAAAAGCCTTTCTATAAATTAAAAAAAAAAGCTAAGGTTAAATAATACTTCACATCAAGTTTGTAAACTGTGATAATAATTCTTAAAAAGTACTTTGTTAGTTATAGTACATTTAATTATAAAGTCTATTTTTCAAATATTTAATTATGTTGTTTTGCTGAATCTAGTGGTCTGTTTCCTGTTTTCACATTAACTGACTCATCAGCAGATTTGCCTTGACATAAATGACTATTCTCATCCTTAAAACACTTGCTTCATTTGGATTCCAGGACCCTACATTATCCCATTTTTCTCCTACCTCAATAAGCTTTTCTTTACAGTCTCCTTAGCCAATATTTTCTCTTTGTACTGACCTCTTTTTAAAAAAAAAAAAAAAAATA